CATGGAAGCGACTGGAGTGCAGACGGTGTATGAGGTGTCGGATACACTCCCTACAGGTGTCTGTCTAGTATTGGTATCTGGTGCGAACCGATCCCTCGTCACCTCGCTTGGAGCAGCAGCAGTATTCTCCTCAGAGTTCCTCCGCGAAAAGCCAGCGTGGGATAGGGTGGAGGAGGCTTCAATGTTCTACTTCCCGGTAAGTTAGCGTATGTATATGCCTGCTTAATCTGTGCATTTTTCTGGATGATGTGTTTGCAGCGCTTAGGCACGAGTTTAGAGCGTTATGAAAGTTAATACCAATGGAATATCGTTGAAATGTAATCCGTGGTGGAGGAAAACCTAGTAGTGAGAGAGTTTACATTTAGTCAAGAGTGGGAAGAAATAAATGGCAGGTTCGCCGTAATTTTGTGCGTGAATTATAATTCGTCAGTCCCTCAGCCCCAGTGTTGTTCTCTTCTAATCTTTTTATCGTAAGTAATCAAAAGCATACTATCCTCTTTAGATGGTGATGAGATACTGCACTGAACAGAAGAAAGGGCTTGTCCATTTATGTTACTGTTGATGACGTCTTATGAGCCAGAGATGTTTATTCCAGTCTCCGTTGTCTTTGTCTATATCTTTCATCTACTAGCGGCTGTGCGATTGCTGGCGGGACTCGAGAATGATTCCTAAGACCCCACGGGACAGGCGAGTCCCGTAGCCGATCAGTGAACGCCTTTTCATCAATGTAGGAGCTTTTATCTGTTGGTCGCCTCCTTTAACCTTGCCGCTTAATTATAGTCATCCAGTAGGTGGACCAGCACGACACCCGAAATAACGCAGCAGATGAGGAAATATTGCCTCCTATGCTGTTATAAGTAATTGAACGGAAAGCAGATAATGGAAGCTTGTCGAAAGGAGTGATTGTCGACTACAGGAGGTTTCCCAGGGTGAGGAGTCAGTAAGGCTGACTAGCTTGGGCAGTGTACTGTAGAAAAAGAAGCTAACAAAAGGCTCTGCAGAAACAAGCTGCTCACAGTAGACCAAGCAGTTGTTGTGTCTGTGTGCTATGTGCCTGCGCGCAGGTTACGGGATTTGGGGCCGTCCTATAGCCAATCAGGAGGAGGTGCACAGCTCGCAAGGCAAGGCATCAAGACGACCTTGACGCATCGCGCGATCGACAGGCGGACAATACGGGAGCCTCGACAAGAAGCAGGAG